ATGTAAGGTCATCATGTTTTATAGAGTAGTGCACGAACTGATTGCCATACCAACTACAAATCTACAGCCAGTAACATCAACAGTAAGAGGACACAAAGAACGATTCCTCGTTCCTTTTGCCAGGACTCAAGTATATCGATACTCGTTTTTCCCAGATACCATCAGAATCTGGAATGGACTGCCACAACACTTAGTAAGCTGTACAACCCTTGAATCATTCAAAAGGGGTGTGCAAGTGGTCCAGCTTCGATAGATGTACAACCTTGTTTTTATCGTTATTTTAAAGAAGCACCATTTTCACTGTAGATAATTCGCACTTACCCGCACATTTGTTCTCACATCGAACATGTACATAAAACAGTACGATAATACTCCCATGGGAGGCCTGTACTATAAAGGAAGAAGAAGAAGAAGAAGAATAAAAGCCAGAATTGGTATCTTCAACGTATACATACAGATACAGATACAAATACAGATATCATATAGAAAGCACTAATTGGACTGAAGGGTGCTAGTATTTACTACAAAAGGAAGAAAAATAACCTAGTTCTCAACCTTTTTATTTGACAGGTAAACAAATGTCAATGTAGTTTTCAGTGATTTGTACACGTTGTATAAATCGTGGGACATGTATCTATACGTGGACGACATGTCAATCCTGTTATTCTTTCTAATCACATGCCCCTGATTGTCTTTTTGTAGGCCACAGAAATATTCAGACCATCTCGACTAATAGCTTATAACTAATCATATATCAAGAAGGTTAATTTATTTGTATAATTAGATGAACAATTTAAAAAAAGACACCATGCGTAAAACCACGAAAACAAATTACTGTCATATAAATTGTCATTGTATCAGATTGTAAACGGAATAATTATTGTATTGGATCTATATTTATCCAACTAGCAATGTCGGCCAGGTATTTAATTTTACAGGTATCGATATTGCCGCAACATGCGTCACTAAATGTAAATGAAAGTGAAACGGGTTATTAAAGGTCTATTGGTTGAGAACCATCCAACTGAGTTAATTATAACGTAGAAAAGATACAGGAAATAAACAAGTCAAGTATTTATCAAATGCATAAAATAAAAATAAAAACGTAACAATTATTATAAAAAAGAAGATGTGGTATGATTGCCAATGAGACAACTCTCCACAAAAGACCAAATGACACAGAAATTAACAACTATAGGTCACCGTATGGCCTTCAACAATGAGCAAAGCCCATAACGCATAGTCAGATATAAAAGGCCCCGAAATGACAAATGTAAAACAATTCTAACGAGAAAACTAACGGCCTAATTTATGTACAAAATAATGAACGAAAAACAAATATGTAACACAGCAACAAACGAAAACCACTGAATTACAGGCTCCTGACTTGGGACAGGCACATACAGAATGTGGCGGGGTCAAACTGGTTTGAGGCGCCAACCCTCCCTCTAACCTGGGACAGTTGAAAAAGGCTTAACTCATCAGATGGATACAAATAGACATACATCTAACAAAAACACAGAGTGGACGTGGGCGGGTACTTGTACATCCAAACAACAAAAAGACACTAAGTACAGATTTGAGAGGACTCGCAGTTACTGACAGTTTGTTCAAAGCCAATAACAACTAATAAAAAAAATCATGCATCTAAGACTAAATTATCAATCAATACACATCTAACATCCAATGGATTTAGTGTAAAGACGTCATTAATAGTCAGAGAAAAACTTGACCTTGTGCAATGCCAAGATACAGGTATCGACAGATTGTAGAGCCATGAATGTGCATATGTATATAACAATAATATTTAGTTGATTTTAATTTACTGATAACAAAATCAATATTAATACCAATAAAAACAATATTCAAAGATCTAATTACAATGTTGAATAGGTAACCTTTTAGAATAAGTTTATTTAAAGGATCGATAAGTTTACCCGGATCGTTTCTAAACTTCCGGGCTCGGTAAACAACATCTCCGTAAAAAAGAGGATGTGCTATCCCGTTTGAAATAAGTTTTCTACAGGTACAACCAAAATTCAAAACCAAATCTTTATATCTATGGAAGAATTCCCTGACTTAATAATTTACCAGTAATACATAGATTACGTTCATTAAAATCCAAAAAGTCACAACAGACACGGGCATAGCGAACGAGTTGTGATATATAAACACCGTAAGATGGTGCCAAAGGAACATCACCATCAAAAAAAGGAAAATTAACAATAGGGAACGAAAAATCGTCCCTTTTGTCGTAAATTTTAGTTTAGAGTTTCCCGTGTAAAACTGAAATATCTAAATCTAGGAAAGGACAGTTATTTCCGTTTATTTTTGTTAAAAATTGAATGCTTCTTTTGTGATTTTTTTGCGAGGTAAAAGTGTTGACCGAAACACATTTTGTATGAAGCGCTTCCACTAAAAGTGTGCACACGATCAACGCTTTTACAACCCTATAGAATTAAATAAAGAAGCAGTCATTTCTTAGAATTACATTAATATGTTACAATTATGTTATTAGGTTTGTTTTCCCTACGCACTGTTGTGATGTTATCACGAGAAGCACGTGCAGTCATACATGTTGAATTTTATTGAGAATTTTATTTTTACAATTTTATATTGGAATGCCTCGCGATTGATCTCAGCTAATCAACAGTACGGATTCTTATAGACCATATGTACTGTAATTATTATTTAATGAACCCGGTTTTAAATTGCTTAAATACATGAGTTTCGATAATTTTATTATTTTGAAAAGGCATCTAATCAATAATCCATGCATTCCAAATATATCCGTATTTGGGGTATTGCATATCATATCTACCATAGGAATATATATACTTTAAGATAAATTATTTATTTCAATCACGCATTACTGGCAATTGTAGAAGTTTCTTTATGACTCTCAGCCTTTAAAATACTTATATATGCCTTTAATCAGATTTACCATGCCAATAAACAAAGGTAGAAACTCTGTCTATGCATTGTAATTTGATATACGAAAATATACAAATATCCGAAAAATTGTGTAATTGATGGTATGTGTCATAGAAATATAATTAAGAGACGGGTAATGTATCTAGAAAGGACACATGTTTTTATGTTTTGATCTATGACAAAGTCTTTAGATGATACATGTGAAAACAGCTCGGTTATATATATATATATATATATATAGGACACAAGCTCCAGCAATCAAGTGGAGTACTTCGGGAAGTTCGAAGTGCAAAGGATAATGCCTTTTTTGTTATTCTTGGCTAGTATATTTGTTTAACGAGATTGATTACATTATTGGACATGTGTTGTGGTTCCAATCATAAGTTTTTTTATCATTACTCTCTTAATCAGTGTTCAAGATGAATTATAACAGATCCAACAGCAGATAAGAATAAACTTAACCACCCGGAGCACAAGCACCATTCTCTCTTTCCGGAGCAATTCAGTGTACATTTCCAATTTTGTATATTTGTGCTTTCGATTTTGCGCTAAGTGTGCATGTCTCGGTGTCCTGTTACCCTATGGATTTTGAACTTTCTCTGTAATATTGCCACTTTATTAATCTATCAGTTTTATTCAATTGAAAATAAATGAAAATATTAATACAAAAAGTTTAGATTGATTGATTTGTTTGTTGTTGTTTATATTGGTTGATTTCTTTATTGTTATTGCGTCACGCCACAGTAGCATAAAAGGCATTACTGAACGATAATATCAAATGGACATAATTAAAAACCGCTCATCTAGGTCTATGTGCATCTTGAAAAATAGACACTCTCCGAAATTGTAGACTAGAATATAATTCATGACTAAAATTTCTTTTTTGTTAAACTTTTACTGTTGATAATTTTTTTCTGTTTACAATTTATCTCTATCTTCTATAGTTTTTGCCCAAAAAACAAAAAAGGCATTAACTTCTATGAAACAACTGACAATTTCATCCATGCTAGCTTATTGTAGATCTCGTCTTGCTGGTCCAATTTGCTTTTAAAATTTTCTATGTATCGATGATAATTACCAAGATAATATGAAAAACGCAAAACATTTGTAAATATCGTCATTTAAGGGCACTATATGTAACTTATATAAATAGTTTACCAAAAATTTCAGCAATATCGACATATTTGTAGATCTTGCTTTGGAGATTATTTTTGCTATTTATAAAGTGTCTATTTTTCCAGTAAAAAGGCAAAAATGCAAAAAATGGTAAAAATCGTCATTGAAGGACACTAAGTTCAGTAAGGAGCCGACTGAAGATTTCGGTCATGTTTAATTATTTCAAGATCTTATATTGTTGTCCATTTTTGAGTCTTAACATTTCTGTTTATTTATCATGATTTTCAAGATAAAAGGCCAAAAATGTAGTTGTAGTTTTGTACTGTGCGTATTGCTGTGTGTTTGTTTATTCTACATTGGCTAGAGGTATAGGGGGAGGGTTGAGATCTCACAAAACATGTTTAACCCCGCCGCATTTTTGCGCCTGCCCCAAGTCAGGAGCCTCTGGCCTTTGTTAGTCTTGTATGTTTTTTTTAATTTATATGTTTCGGAGTTTAGTGTGACGTCCATTTTCACTGAAATAGTACACATTTTTGTTTAGGGGCCAACTGCAGCCCGCCTCCGGGTGCGGGGTTTTTCTCGCTGTGTTGAGGACCCATTGGTGGCCTTGGGCTGTTTTCTGCTCTTTGGTAGGGTTGTTGTCTCTTTGACACATTCCCCATTTCCATTCTCAATTTTATTAGAGGAGAAGACGACAGACACCAAGTGATAAATAAGCTCACTTGTATCTTTTGGCCAGGTGAGCTAATGAATGGAAAGAGGGAAATGACAACTCACAATTGTTGAAGACGGTATATTGCCCTACCCCCGACACATGAAATGCATAATGCTCCACAGACAGGTTTCCTTATAACCAGGACGAGAATTAACAATTATACGCCAAGTAAGAAATATTTGGCTGCTCAGTGAGAAGAGCTACAGGTCGCCGCCAGTTTATTCCAAAGCAAAGATGTTAAAAAATTGATTTATTACATTATAAGGTATATTTGTGTAAGCTATTTAATGTATTTATTACATCTTTCAATACCATTAAGATTTCAATTTTTAACGATTGCGATCAGTGGTGAATATGTATATTATTTACATTGCAAATTAATAAATGTAAAAAGTTATTTGCAAAATAAAAGCAGCAATTAGAATCGTCTTAATCGTCTGATATGTCTTATTCATATGTTCTATAATCAGATTTAGAATCAACATCATATCACTTTGCTTATGATATTTCTGTATTAGAAGGTTTTACCAGTACTTTGAGTTTGTTTTCTGTAAACAAGATTGTTCTTTGGTACACCATTTTGTAACATGCATTTAATTATGCATGTGTTTTTGTGGTCTTATAAAGCGTTTCTAAACAGATTATTTAACGTTTTTCTATGTACTTGGTTATTCTAATAAACTCGAGATGAAAGTCAGTAGGTTTAAGTCAGCTCAAAATGTTTTTAACGTTGCGACATGTACAGTCAAGTTAACATGTCTGTCACAATTATATTAGTCGTCTTAAGTTATATGATTATGCATTTGTCTCTCATGTGATTTGTGTTGTTCGATTGCTGTCACATTAATGTAAATCCTATATCACATTTTATTCAAATAATACTATATTACTTTATCATTGCAATAGTGATACAAGACCAGTGTCTCGCATATATATACATGTTCGTGTCAGGAGTTACCGATATATTGTCACCAACATTCATCTCCACGACAACAACACCCGCAGTCGTTTGGGCATGCCCGCCACCGTCGTTATATGTTGTGATTAATTTGTTGTTGTTTTTATAAATAGAATAGTATGAACCTGTGGTGTGAGATACAACGTGAACAGAAATATGATACAGTCCGTCTACTTCACACGAAAATTTGCCGCTGGTCTTAAATGCTGATAAATTCTTTATTCCAATAGAAGTACGTACGTCGTCAAACTTTATTAATGTGTGAGCGTTATAGTTCTTCCCACTTGAAACACATGATGTTACAGCAACTGTAAAACAGATGGATATTGAAATTAATTGTTTGTAACTTAAATCAAAGTTTAATGTCAATATATGCATGAGCAAAAGAAGATGTATGTATATGTATATAAATAAACAAATTTAATAATATTTGAAAGATATATTGCATTAAAACAGTATTAAAACTTCAGTGATTTATGGTAACTTAAGATTTTTTTTACAGGTTATTCTTTAAGGAACTGATCATGAAAAAGTGAAAAAACAAGAATTAGGCAAACGAAGACATACAATTCAGTCCTACTTTGAAATATTTGCTAATTCCTATGGATTTTTTTGTCCTATATACATTTTAGCATAGTATCCTTTACAAATTGCAAACCAAAATAAACAGGAAAAAGAACTGAGCAAACATAGTTACCTTCATTACAAGAAAGAAAAAACGACAGGAGTGATAGGGGTTCTAAGACGGCTCAGCAAATCTTTTTTCTGTGCAAACAATCACTTATAATTCTCGGGTCACTTTTGTATAAAGTAGTTAATAATTTTATTACCTTTTCTACTATTATCCGTTATTTGCTGTTCTAGTTGAGCCAATGACATGTTTAAATTCATCTGAATGTTCTGGACTTCTTTGTTCAAATTCGCAAATGTACTATTTTCCACGGTTTCTGAATGTTCTTTAAAGTCCTTCATTCTCTTGTTGAGAATGTTATATGTTATATTTTGACCATTTTCCAGTTGATTAAATTTTAAATTGGTCATGTTCTAGTATTTTCCCATCCTATGATTTGTCGTTTCTTCAATGTAAACAGTTTTATTATACAAGGCCAAGAAGTCTTGACTCCTTGCACGTTCATTAACGCTGAGCGAATGTGTCTCTGAGGCAACAGTCTGTAGCTGCTGCTTGATATAATTGAGGTCTTGAAGTGGTTGTAAATTTTTTAATTGTTTTAATTCGGATAATTCTTTGCCGAATTCTGCGGTTACATTTTCCTGAAAGGCAAATTTAGTTTCCATTTTAATTCTCAACGATTGCAGTTCTTGCTCTTGTGTTTTATACTTCATCAATAAATCGGTAAACTCATTCCTCAACTTAGTGTTGTTAGCTTCTAAATCTCGATAATTTTGTCCCAAATCAATATATTTTTGTTCTAAAATATTAACATTTTGAGACGATTCGTTGTTGCTACAACCATTCTGTTTAAGTATTTCAAGCTGTTTTTTAAACTGTGATGTCATAAGAGCAAAGGTTTTCTCCATGTCATTCCGTAACTGATCTGTATCATGGCGCAATTCTGTTGTCATGTGTCTCTGTTCCTTCTTCTCTTCGTAAAATTCTGATATAGTTAGATATTGATTGTTTGAAGGAACTGTTCCTCCAGTGCTGTCAACATTGTTATCCAGCAAAAAACCAAAGCCTCTTTTAAGGAAACACAAAAGGAAGAGCTTTTTCAGTAACATGTTGAACAAAATAAAAATATTTGTTATATCCCCTATACAGATAGTTTTTATCTGAGAAACATATCACATGTGTTATCAGTGGATATAGAAAAATAGGACATCACAAATAGACTAAGGACTGCAATTTTATCTAAAAAATCAGAAGTATTCATGCACCGACACAATGGGGATAATAGTATTAGTAAATAAATAGAAAACGACTGTCACAATTCTGATTTTGTAAGAGAACTTTGCTTGGATAAACCCTAGCGTGCCATTTGAAGAACAGTCTTTCAAGGTTCAAACAAAATGCACGAGAAATCGTGAACTCAATTACAATACAAGTAATAAGCAAAAAAATTTACTCTAAACATATGTATCACTTTTAATGTATTTGTACCCTTTGCAAAACACGTAAAAAACATTGAAACCTCGTCAGAGCTTCAACGTACAACTTAAAGAATATAAGTATTGCACAATGTCGTGTACTTTTTTTTTATCACGTTGTTGTAGGAAATCGTCTGTAAAATGCGTCAACCTATATTGAGTGAAGAACGGCATTAGTTTTATATCAGGTGGTAAAATATTTAGAGCTTCCATTCAGCTATTTCATTCTTTAATACGGTATGGAAAGATGGAAAACATAATAACCATAAATAGAAGAAAAACAAACATCATCTTGGCCAAAACAAACAACAAAATACAAAGAAAACAAAAAAAACAATACTTAAACTCAGTTGCTCCGGACTGGTAAGCCATTCCTGTTCCATAAGTGACACTCACCGTGTTAATCATCGGAAGTAAAATTCGCTGATAAGTCGCATTCGCTCATATCACAATCGAGAGAAAAGATGGCGGGATTGTGTAATTATGTAGATCTTATATAATTATAAACAAACAAAATCGTGAACTTATACAAGTAACAATCAGCATGATTTATCATATCAAATATGTTTTTGTACTTGTGTTTTTATTGTCTGTTATTCCGTTATTTTTAGAGTTTGGTGCTAGCCATGCACTGCTTTTTATTGTATGTTCTTTTTTGAACCATTTGTTAGCTCACTGATCGAGATAAAAAAAAAAGGAGAAGATTGAGATTCCCAAAAACATAGTACAATCCCGCCACATATTCATTAGTCTGTCCCGATTTCGGAAATATTTGTCAGTGATTGTTTTATGTCATATATGCATGCATCTGACTTATTTTGCTATTTGGAAACTAAGCCAGTTGTTTGATAGTTTCTATTCAATTTATTACTAATTTTATAGACACGGGACGAATTAGAGCTGGACATATTGTATGGACATCTGTATGTTGTTTCAAAAGGTATGTTGCTCTATAAATGTTTCTTGGTTATTATTGTCCTCTGGTTTACCGTCTCATTATCACACATCTAATTTTTTTATATACAGTTTCTGTCAAACTATGTTATACATTATATTGTTATTTGAATGTCGATGTGTTTATTATTTTTCAGTTTAATGAATTGTCATGATATCCTCTTGATAGACACTTTAACGTACAACTGTTTCGTTTTGTTCGATTTTTTAGTTTCTAATAAGAGGCAGGTGTTAACGGTGAAATCAGTTAAAGTCCGCATAACTTGCTGTTAAAAAAAACAAAATTACTTATTGTTTCAAATTTAAATTCATAAATATAATATTGAATTTTTATCACATAGGCCATCAAATATGTTTATTTCATCTTTATTGGAAAAATTACATCTTAAAGTTTAACTAAATGATTCGGCACCGTCTTCTGTTTGCCTACAACGAAAGTATCGAGGGAAAATATAGTCATCTGGAAGAAGTTGTACGTTTATCCACAATAATGCATTGATACTAAAATATCAGAGTATATTTGGCAAAATAAATGTTCATATTTATTCTTAAGGGGTTTTAGTATCTATATCTCACATGTATTGTTGCATTTCTTGAGATCTTGTTCGCAATAGTTAGAATTGAAGCATTGCTCTTAGGAAACAGGTATTTATTTTTTTATGTTTTTGTTTGGCAGATAATAACTTTAATGAAAGGGGCTATGGTGTATATTGCAATACTATGAAATGATTAACCAACCAAACAATTGATATAAGTCTGTTGTTAAACTTTTTTTAATACCTATACATATGAATATGCCAATTTCGTTCTACGAATTTATTTATATTTTTTTTTTATTAACTCAGTGGTTAAATCTTGCACAAAGCTTCCGGACCCACTAGCAGAGTCAGTAATTATTATTAAATTGAAGCTACACTAACCCGAATAATTCAGTCCCTCCCCGTGATCGACTCTCCCACTCGTTAATGTAGCCATCGTAGAGCAGTGGAATATAACGACTGAATTATTCGGGTTAAAGCTACACATGGACAGTTGCAGTTACTCTCGAATTCTAATTATAACTGAAAATTTAGCAGAAGTAACAATTTCGATGAAAAGTAATGTGTAAATCTCCTTTTCCCGAAACATCCTCCAGCTTGTTCATAAATTCATAGTTCTACTTTGGAATGCATCCAATTTATATATTAAAACGTGAACTTTTATTGAAACGAATTTACATAGGTACAAATATGAATAGTATGAAAAACAAATATTCAAATAACACATTTGCACTCGTTATAAAGTACTTTATGCCTTTAAACTGTTTCTGAAGTGGGTTTTAGATTTTTACTAATTTATAAAACACACCCACAATTGTGAATGGTATGAAAAAAAAATTTAATATCAATTAAATAAGGTGGTGTTCCTTATTTGATGGGTTGGCAAAGTACAAATTGGGTGTTAACGTTAAATTTTCTACAAAATTATAAAAAGATTTAATTCAGTAAATATTCATCACATCAATACGCAAGAAATATCGCTACGTCATTACAATAAATTATTGTTGACGAAAGGTCTAAAGAACGCCTACGTCACTACAACAGATAGATACCGATAAATATTTACAACAAATCACGACACTTTATTGGTTAAATGTCATTACCTGGGACTTTAATAGGAATCATCTGGCCTTGAACATACCAATGAGTGTGTACAACTAGATAAATCATTTTTATTCATAAACTTGATAACCTGCTTAGTCAACAATTTTAGTGAATTTGAGCATCAGAAGATTACCAAGTGGACGCACCCGATCTCGCTCCTTCTTTAAGAAACAGTGGGATTATTTCAAAATTAACGCCCATTTTATCATTTCCTTCTAACTTTAAAATGTGGTATATCATGCCTATGTTTCTTTGTACACATGTGACGGAAGCTGAATATTTTAAGTGTCTCTTTTTCTGGACCTGTTTTGAAATAATATATGTTCTTTCCAAGTTTAGTCAGGCAAAATAACCCTGAATATTAAATCGATTGTGACTTTATGCCGTAATGTTTATTTGGCTTACTCAACGTTTAAAATTGATATACAAGTTTTTTTTCAGAAACTTCATATCTTTTGTATTCAACAGTATTATAAAAAAAGAAAACACTTCATAGTTTGGCGAATTTCTCATTTTGGTTTGAAGTGAAGAAAAAAAGGCAATCTCTGTTCTCATTTGATACATATTAGTACTATTCAATCATTGTATTTTGTGTCAGTAGTAACAACATTAAGACCGCTTACTGAATAAGAATAAAATAATAAACACACGAGAAATAGAAACTAAATGAAGGTTTTTATATGTAAAATGACAGTTTGGCTCTAATAATCCACGAACACGAATAACCATATTACTTTAATATTTATCAAAATATTTGATGTCAAATATAAGTAAATGATACATATAAATGTTAAGTACTTATATTTATTGTAAAACCATATTGGTCGTATACAGTTATTAAGACAGGAAATGACCAATTCGATACTTTCCGTTATATCATATATCATATATATTTAGTCATATTTTCATTAAGGACTTATTTTTCAAGTGCAACTTGATTACTATGTTTTTGAACATTTATCACTATATAAATTATGAATTTATATAAGAAACTTAGATTTTTTTTTTATATACTTGTACATTCTTCAACATTTGTATTTGGTTGTGGACTTTCAAAATATTTTGGCCTCAAGCATCACTGAACAGACAGTAATTGTCGAAATGCTCATCTGGTGCAGTAAAATTGGTACTGTTTATATTATTATAACTGTTTATATGCATGTGACTGTCTGCTGCTTTATATTTGATTTTTGATTTTTATTTTGTGCATTTAAATTTTTGTTCAATGGTAAACTATGTTTGTTTCGTGAGATTATCAAACAATCCGTATTGTAATTACTATTTCAGTATTGTCCTTATGTTTCTAGTTTTGGCGATTCACACTATTAAACTAGTAAAACCATTTACCATACTTTAATTGTCAACTTTTCCAGGCAATACATCTGTTTTAGGGAATGGTTTAATTCTAGGACAACTAGTTTAACTCCGTCACACAGTAATGCGCCAGTTCCAAAACGTATTATAAATACATTATAAATTGAATAAGTGAACAAATTGATTACAAAATATCAAAGATTTATCACCAACACAAAATTCTCAAAAACAACAAAACATTATGAAATGAATTTAGTTAGTTTCTGTCTTATTTTATTTCATAATTTTTTTCTTATTTTTTAGAATTTTGTATCGGTGTTAGATCCTTGATGTTACTGATCAAATCATTCACTTATTCAATTCATAATGTATTTTATTCTCTAGAATTTCTTTAAATTATTTTCGTACCTGGGTTGCTATCTCATTGACACATTTTTTAGGCTGCAGGCTTTTTACTTCGGCTTCATAAACTCCTTTTGCCATTGAAAATACAAAATAAACACATGTGGTCTAAGACAACTTCAGATTACTATTACACCTTGACTACCCATGACGGTCTTCATGTTCAAATTCACAGCTGACAGCACATAGTTTTTAGATCTTCATTGTCTTGATTGCAAAGTCTAAACATGTAACCATTTCAATCTTTCCATATTTTTAGTTTCATTTTCTACCAGAAATGCTCAACCATTTGTATTTATAATTTGAAGTGATGTCAATAAAATGGCATATACAGATCATGATGTTTACTGGTGAATGACATGTCAACGGACTCGTTCTTTCTATGTTGATTTTATGTCGATCGTTAAACAGTTGCTTTGTCATATTATTATGAATTTATGCTACTAAACAGTTGGCAACTTGAAACTACGGCCGTTGAATTACATTACTTTTCTCAGTGTCAGCTAGGTAAATACTACATGTGGATATTTAACCTTTTCGTGTGCCAGTCCAACCATATGCCACTTGTATACTAATAGAAACAGCAACCGTTGTATTGAAAAATAAATACCATACTCTATAATATATAATCGTTATTTGTAAAGATTAAGTTTTCACCATGTATTTAAATTGAGGGAATTGAACAAAAAATGTCCAGTCGATGAACTTTAAGTATAAATAATTAAACAGTACTCATGTCAAGCCAATGACCTCTGAGTGTTATATGGCAAAGAAGGTATTTAATAGGACTGACGGTCTAATAGTAGTTTTCCCATGCCAATGTATCTACACAACGCTGGCTCCCAAAATGATTTGTTTTGATTTGTTTTGGTTAGAGCGTTTCTGAAGAATGGTAAATCCGGAAAAGTGCTTCGAACGGGCCAAATTTATAAATTTTCATGCATTTATTTTATCTAATAATCTTTTCTTGTTAAAAAAAACTTTACCAAAGACACCAAGTTATAACTATGTACGCCAGACGCGCGTTTCGTCTACAAAAGACGTACCAGTGACGCTCAATTAAAAAAAGGTAAAAGGCCAAATCAAGTTCAAGAGAATTGAGGACCAAAAATCCCGAAAGGTTTTGCCAAATACAGCTAAATTATGCCATTTATTCATGAGTTAGAAAATCCATCTTAAAAGCTTTCACTTTGGAATAATCGTTCTCGCATCTCATCGATATCTAACATTTAAAATATCAACTCATATTGATATAAAACATAACACTTTTATATGAATTTCGTTCATCCGAAGCGCTTTTCTGAATTTACCTTCATCAAGAATGCTCAAACCCAAACATTTGAAAGTCATGGATGTTAAATACGTAGAAATGTAGTTACCTATATTACCAAAAGATCCAAATTCATCTAAGGTAAACTTAAATGGAGTTGGAACCTGAGTTTCTTAATAATTTCTTTATATCAATCTGTCATTATGTTCCTGGGATTCATTTCCCAGCTACATACCCAGTGTTGCTGAGTTTTGACTTCATGTCCCCCTTTTCCCATTTGTATATTCTAAATCGCTATACGCAATTTGAACCTCGGTAGACACCAATTGGCTCAACATTGACACTACTACTTAATTGACTTAATAATCTTGTGACAGACAATGCATGCATAGCAGCAAATAGTTACCACTTACCTTGTCGATGCATATAGTCTCACTCAACTTGGAGCTCATACTATTTCTATTGTTTTCACTCCAAATTTCCCCCTATTTTTATATATGGACCTGATACATACATGATCATAAGTATAAAATAACTCAAAGATACAGACTTATAATTGTGTACGGCAGACACGCATTTCGTCTACATAAGACTCACTTGTGACGCTCTAATCAAAACAGTTGGAAGGCTAATCAAATTCGAAGTTGAACATGTTGAAGAGCATTAAAAACCTAAATTTTTAAAAGTTGTGCCAAAACAAGGCTAAGACAATATATTTCTGGGGGTAGACAAAACTTGGTCTTTATTTGGTATACCACGCAAATTTACGTTCACAAAATTGCTACAAATTATTCTTCAGACAGATAACCTGATTATCTAATACTACAACATTTGTTACCTTCATTATCGTCGGCTGGAATACTTATCTCAAACGCTTCACATCTGTTTAGAAAATACAAATGCGATTGCTTTATACGATCACGTAAAATTTCTAGCCAGACATTAATGATGTGGGAAAGAGTACATTAAAATAAATTTGGTTATCATTAACAAGTTTATATACAGTACTTATCACTACTGGGAGTGCAAAAGTTAGTAGTAGGACACGAACCTTTACCGAAAAATATCTGTATGACTATTTTTGACATTTTTATAGAAACGTTGAGTTAGTAGGAACATCATTTGTAATTTCATGTAAACGGCAAGCGGATGGTTTGTTGCCGAAAAATGAAAAAAAACCAATGCTGGAATGATCAGGACAAATTATTTCAGAAATGTGTGTTGGCCACAAAAAATTGAATCATATGTTTTACGTTCTACTTTTCATCATTGCATGTGAGGGAGATCATTACCTCCTGGGCATCTTTCTAGTTTTTTATGTAAAAGTTCGTTTTAAGCGTGGTGTGTATCGTTCTTTTTAGCGTAATTTTTTTTAAGAACTCATCAAAGATACCAGGTTTATTATTTGGTATACCAGGCGTGTGTTTTGTATACAGTTGACTCATTAGTGGCTTAAATCAAACAGTTGGAATGTTGAATAAAAAGTGAAAAGGGAAAAATCACTGAAAGCTAAAAGCCAGGAATTCTGAAAAGTTTGCATAGGTCATTTGTCCCTGTTAGGGGAGGGGTGGAGGGTGGGGTGTTTAGCGGTAGAGACAACGTAAGTGTTTTGAATGAATTTTAAACATATTTCTAATAATAAATTTATGGAATGACTGCAATGATCTTACATGCCAACTCAGAAGCCCTGACTACTAGGCCGATGAGACGCATCAATGATGAAATGTCCACCAGCAGTGGCATCGACCCAATGATGCAAAAGTTCAGCAATCATACACGACTTATGTGTACACCAGACACTTAAAAGTCAATGCCGTGTTATGTGAAATAAGTTAATCGGACTGTGGCGTGGAAGTGTATTTAGTGTATAATAAAAAAACGTAATACAAATGTAATCTGATATTGATACTACGTTATTTTGACATTCATAATCAAATGTGCTAATCATTGATACATAATTGATACCAACGGTTTTTAACAATGACGTAATATCTGTACATACAATATCGTACGACACCATGATTTCAAAGCATTTGCCAATCATTAAAAAAGGCCTTATTTCATAATGCATTGTATTAGTTTTGAAATACTATTATAACTATATATATTTTCGTAAGCAAAATCATAACTGATTGTAAACTACTAATACCATCCTTTATTTGTAGAAATGGTTTCTTACTGAAAAAATTTAAACGGATACTTTACATGTAGTTTAGGTGCACAAGGTGAATTTGATAATGCATGCGTACCATGGGTTGGTAAAGCCTAATAAATTATTATTAAGTCTTGAAGTCCAAATTTTGACAAGATATGATATGAACCATTTCTACGTGTAATTCCCGATTTAGTGGAAAATAATCTTAATAAAATCAATGTAGATTTTCTTTTTTCGTTTTAAAGTGTATGTATCAAATAAGTATTTTACTCCCTGATCGTTGAATATTAAAAATACACCCATTTTATGTTTAATTTCACACATTTTGCTGTATTTACCCCCAAAACCACCTATATTCAGTTAAACTATTATAAAGAGCTTTGGTGTTGTTGGTTTATATTAACGTAAACCCCGAGTATATCATATTTGCAGTAAGATATACCAAATTATACATAGTTTTTCAATGCCCTTTTATTTATTCTTTTGAAAATTTTCTGATTAAAAAGTAAAATAACAATAATACCGAACTCCAAGAAAAATTCAAAACAGAAAGTCTCTTATCAAATGGCAAAATCAAAAGCTCAAACATATCAAACGGTTTTATAGCTAGCTGAGCCTCTCACTTGTATGACAGTTGCATAAAATTCCATTATATTGACAACAATGTGTGAACAAAATAAAAAAAATGTCAAAAATAGGAGTACAGCAGTCAACATTGTGTTATAAACTTAATCACTATAAAAACAAACAAATATATCAACAAAGAAAAACAAAATGGTATATATATGACAAAGCACACAAGCAAAAATGAAAGACAAGAATACAAAAAATGAACATAGCACAATAACACAGTGGCGGGATGTATAAGTAACGAGCCACGCTAAAAGGATATTACTTAAAATGGACTAAACAGTAAAGGTTAATAATTTGCAAAGACAAATAAAAGAATAATCGTCCCCTGTAAATTATAAGAAAATAATAGCCATTATGTTCTCTTTGGCATTGAAATGGAATATTAGAGGTTCTCGGTGAAAATTTGATCTATGGATTGGAATAGTTTCTAAAAAGGAATGTGTATACTCTTATTCACAGCTAGTATTTCAGTTTTTACCGGCAAAAGATGATTGGAGTATAATTAATCAATGGTTAAAAATATGAAAAGCGTTTCTTATGCAGCTTGTGACAAATTCTGATTTAAAAACTTTCCATAATCATTTAAAGCAGCGTAGAATGTATTTTTGTACTTTTGTCTTAGTATATCAATAAGGAATGTAGTATGATTGAAAAAGAGACAGCTGCCCCTTAGAGACCAAATGATGAGGATGTAAACAACTAAATGTCACCCCACGGCATTCAACAATGAGCAAACCCTATATTACCGTTTATATGACTATATGGAGTTATGTCCTTTCAAACCGACAGGTCAT